TATTTTTAGCTTTTTTAAAAAAAAGCCTTTTGCTAGGCTATTGCGATTTTTTTTTTAAAATCGAAAAATTTATCCGTATATTGCTATTATATTTTATCTAAAATCGCTAAATTAATGCTGTTATTTTCCGGTTTGGATAAAAATATATTTAACGATATTATTAAAAAAATAGCTTCGAGTTTTTTTACCTTTTTATTTTTAATCGGGCTCGAAAATATACTAAAATTAATTAAATTTAAATTACCGGGCTCCGGTAGCGTAGCTAAAAATATTTAATATTATTAATTAATTTTAAAAATATTATTATTAATTTTTTTCGGTTTTTTAATTATATCTTTTTCGGTAAAATCGCTAATAGTTAAATGCTATACCGCTTTTAAGTCCGCTTATTTTTCGATTTTTTTTATATTAATTACTTTTTAATTTTATATTTTTACGAATTTTAAAAATTCGTCGAGCTCGGCCTTTAAAAATTCCCCGGGATTTAGCGGATTTTTCCGGTAAATTTATAATTTATTAAAAATTACGTTTTTAACCCGGAATATTTTTTTTTCGCTAATATTTAAACGAAATATATATTCGAGGTATTATATTTTATTAAATACCTAATATGCGCTTTAAACGATAATTTATTTCGCTTGCTTAATATATTAGTAATTTTTTTTATAATAAAATATTTATATTTATATTTCCGAAAATAAGCAATTTAAGGTAATTTTAATCCGGAGATTTTATTTTCCTAGGTATATCGCCGTAATATTTTAATTAAGGTTATTTTTTACGGCCTTTTTTCGGTATCGTATAATTTTAGCGTCCGATTATATAAATATATCGTAATAGCTATAATATATTTTTATAGCTAAAATAGTAAATTTCCGGAAAATTATATTGCGCGTATTTTACGTATAATTATATTATTTACCCGTTTTATTTTATAATTTTAATTTAGATTCCCTAAAATAAACGGTTCGAACCTAATATTTTGCTAGCGGTATTAATTAACCGTTTTTAAGCGGTTTATTTCGCTATTTAAGCGAATAAATTTGATTTTTTTTTATAAATAATAATTTAATTAATTATATTTATAAATAATAAAAAATTTTCGTTTTCGCTTTAAATTACCGTTATTAACGCTATTATATAGCTAATAATTTTATCGATAATAAATATTACCCGTTTAACTAAAAATTTTTTTTTTACGATTTTTTTAGCTTTTAAATAAATTTTCCTAATTAATATATAATTTCGAAAAAAATACTAGCTATTTATTAGGTACCGCCCGTCGAAAAATTATTTTCGAGATTTTTGCTATTTTATATATATTATATTTATACGTTACCGGTTTTTTTAGGCGGAATTCTAGCGATACCAAAATAAAATTAGCTAAAACCTTTTAAAAAGGGTATTTTATTTTTTTATATTAAATCCTTATAATACCGTTGAACGAAAGTTTCGGATTTCCCGAAAAACGGCTTTTAATCCCTTTTTTTAAATTATACGGAATTCCGTTAATAATAATAAACGCTTTATTTTTTTAATTTAATATTACGCGGGTATTTAATAGCTTATATTTTAAAACGTTAAAGCTATGGATTACCTATATTTAAGTTATTGGTTTTAATTTATTATAAAATTAAATAAATTTATTATTTCGGTTATTATAGCAAAAATTTTATTTTTTTCGAAGCTTTAGCAATAATATTAAGCTAAAATAAAAACCTAATATATAAGCTATATTAATTAGTTATATATTACCTTTTTTCGCTTATTTATATATAAAACCGTTTTTTGTTTTTTAATATTATATTGGTATATTTACCTTAATATTAATTATATTTTATTTATTAATTAAAACCCTAATATTCCTTATAAAAATATATTACGAATTTGCCGCGGTTTTAAAATTAATAAACCTATTAAAGTTATTATATATATAAAAAGTGGCTTTTATATTAGCGATAAACGAGTTTTTTAAAAAGTAATTAAATATATTAATTATATTTATAAAATTATATTATATTTTTAATTTTACCTAATTGCATTTTTTAAGCTCCTTTTTTATTTTAAATATATTATCGGATTACCTTTTTATATAATTTTATTCGAACGGACTTTTTGCCGTTTTTTCGTATAAAGCCCGAATTTTTATTATATTAGCCCGAAATTTTTTTTTTTTTATATTCCGATTAAAAATTTTTTATTTTTTTAAATTAAAGATTTTACGGTTATTCCGGATAAAAAAATAATTATATTAATAATGCCTAATTGCCTCGTAGGCAATGCATTAAAGGTTATTCCGGGGAAATTTTTTACGTTTATTTTTTTTAGGTTTCGGTTTAGGCTTAAATTTCGATTTTAATTCCTTTTCCGTTTTCGGCTTTTTAGTTAGTAATAAATTGTTTTAATTTTTTTGGTTTAAATTTCGTTAATTAAAAATTGCTAAATTCGCTAAATAATAATCGGCCGTAATAATTAATCGAATACCTTTTTATCCCGTAGGTTTTGCTTTGCTTCGCATTATATAATTTTATTTTTCGTATTCTTTTTATAAATCGTTTATAGCTTTGTAATAAAATTACGTTAATTTTAATATAATTTGCTTTATATAGGCCCTTTATATCGTTTACGGAGCAGGCGTAATTTATTTTAGGCCGAACTTAGCCTTTTAGTTTATTAATTCGGTCGAAAATACTTTTCCGAGGTTTAAAATATATTAAATAAATTTTATTTTTTAAATTTAAAATTTATAAATAGGCTATTTTTTAAAAACCTTTTTTTTTATAAATTTTTTATATACGTTTTTAACGATTCGTTTATTTTTATTTTTAATAAATCGAAACGCCGCCTATAATACTAATATTTAGCTATATAATAGCTCCCCTTTTATTAATATAATATAAAAATATAATATTATAATTTATCGGATATATACGCGAGCTTTTTTAATAGCTATTCCTTCGTTATTATATATAATAAAAATAGCGTTAAAAATTAATATTTAAATCTAATTTAGGTTTCCGCCGTTCGGTCCCTAAGGAATCGCAAATTAAAAAATTAATTATTTTTAATTATCGAGATTTAATAACTTTTAGGCTAATAGCGTTATAAATCGACGCAATTAGGCTTTTTATTCGTAATATTAATCTTAAAAAAAATATAACGTTTGCCTTAGAAAAAATCGCTATTTAATTACCGATAAATCGTTATAAACTCCTGATCTGCTTTTTTTTTTATAATTAAAAGGTTATAATATCTCCCTTTTTAATATTAATCTAAAATTTTATTAAAATATTAATGCAAACCGGGCTTATAATTATTAAATAATTAAATAGCTATAAAGTAAATAAAGGGTCGATATATATATATTAATATAATTTAATAATTTATATAAAGGGCTATTTCTAAAAGGTTTTATAGTACTCCTATTATATAAGGTTTTTACTAGCTGCGTGGCAGCTGGTACTTCCCCGTAGTGCCATAGTTCAATATTTATTCCTTAGGACCCCATACTCCCCGCAAAGCACGTGAATAATAAACCGCCGACCTGCTCTTAGACGACATCGATTTAATTCAAGTGAGGTGAATTTGACCGGCCGACAATATGGTTAAAAATGAGAAGACAGTTAAAGGGATGCTGGTAGTTTCAGTGATCATCAGTCTCGCAGAAGCCGAGAGTGCTTGCATTCGGTTATTCTTCATTGAATTTTAGCGTATTCGTTAGCGATTAATTTACTGTTGGAATAAATCTGGTATTATTGTAAAGATCCTTCGGCCCTGTAGGAGCACATGTCATAGTGCACTTTTGATTGAGAAATCATTCATTAATGATGGTTTTGCTGCTCAGAGTAAAAGGCTGCCGCCACCAGAAATTAATTACAGAATATAAAGCGTCCCCCAAGCCCACTATTATATGTGACTAGGGGCCGGCCCGCTAGGCACCAGCGCATTAAACCCAAGTATGGGCAAGCCGTGTAATACTGTATCTTCACGGCTATACGATCTCAGCAGCCACGAGGATACAATTCACAATAATTGCAAGGTGAAGGTGCACTATGATCTTTGCCGCGAGGAGAAGACTGTCAGCCGGGCAGACGCTCAAAAACCAGTTACTATCATATGTGTCACTCAGATGTGGGAACTACCCGGCAAGCATAGCAAACGAGGACTTCCTTGCGATGCAGTCCTATGTGTTCTGTGGGGAGCAACACCACGTGAAAATCTTGGAATTTGCGTACTTTAAAGGACCTTTGAGAGGGCGGGAACTTCTTGAGCTTGGTATAGCTCAGTTCGGCTGGATTTTCCATGCCCATATCTCGGCGTTCACTCTCAGCTTGCGCTTTACTTCGCCATTGAAGGCCGTGTCGCGTGGCATGGGGGCGTTTAGCTCGTGTACGTTTTCCATGATTGCCGCAGGGAAATATGTCGTTGATGGCCAGAAATTTGAGGCAGCAGTGGACAGCTTCACAGTTGATGGGCCGGCGACGGGAAATCACTCGATCCCATTGTGAAGCAAAGTGTGTGTTTGACGCTGTGGGGGTCATCAGAGAACAAACGACAGAAATATCAATTTGGATGTGAGCCTCTTTCTCAACAACACACCGAATAACTGTACACAATCCAGATGATGCGCCTGTTGGCCTACAAAATCCCTCGGCCTCGTGATACTTACTGATTGAAAGGAACAATCTTGACCCAGCTTCCTTGGCGAAGTGGTGACCTTGAACGCAAATTTCGCCTTCCTTCCAGTTTCTCTGGTAGCGATACCCTTTGGGACTGCAACAGTGGAAAGCGCGTTTGCATACAGCTTCAGTCTCGTCACCCAACCAGCCTCTCGCGATCAATTTTTCCTTTCTTATTTTGCCCTCGTTATTATCGCCCCGGTCCTAAGCCCTCTCAACTCTCTACTTTCACTCGAACCCCAAGCTTGACCAACCTCTTCTTGATCTATTCGGCATTGCGACCAGCCAGAACGACAGATCCTCATCTTGGGGCAACCAGTCATGTCCGGGTAAGTCATCCAAAAACAAACATCAGTTTATTTGTTTTCTTCTTCGTTCCGAACTAATTGACCCCCACAGAGACAACCCGGAGGGGCAGGTCATCGTCCATGGACCCGAGGGTCTGAGCGATGACCAACTCGCCGAGGCCCGCCGCATCTGGGATGAAGCCAAGTCAATGGCACCGCGCTCGAGCCGAAAGCTTTGGAAGAACATCCAGGCTTATGACAAGAAGGGTTTCCAGGAATTCCTACGCGCTGTATTTAAGCACCATGGTGTCGAGTGGAACAGCCTCCGCCGCCCCAGACATATGTATTCTTTCAGAGCCAAAACAGTCGACATGTTCACATTGCCAGTTGGCACTTGGAAAAAGGACCTGATACCAAAGGCCGTGACCAAGGCGGCCGGAGACGTCACCTACAAAATCGCAGCACACAGACGCAAGGGAGCCACAGCTCTATGCCGACCTGTGATTGACGGAGACACCATTGCCTTCAAGATTATCGATTCACATGCCCATCCTCATTCCCACGATGATGTACTCTGGTCTGGGGATGGCCTAAGCGCCGAGCTCAAGGCCTGGATCTGTCTTCATCACGACGAAGAAGAGTTTCGCCACATTTCAGAATGGAACGTCAGAGCTGCAGTTATACGCTTCCAGTATTACCTATGGAAGCTGAACGTTTCGGAGAAAGCCGCTCGGGATGTACAAGTACCTGAGGTGAAGCAGATGTACCTATGTGTTCCGATATTCGAGAACATGTATCGTGATGCCAAGGTTGTCCGCCAGCTGGCAAAGGAAAAGCGTCGTCGAGATCGTGCGCTTTATGGACTTTGATGCCTTCATATGTATCTTCGTGTTTCCAATTGGAAGCAGAAAAGGGCAGAAAAGCCTGGGCCATCATGTACGCCAAACAATGGAGAAAATGTCAGAGACAAAAAGTCCACCAGCATGGTGTGTAGAGTGGAGCAAGATTTGACAAAAGGCCTGTAGCTCAAAGCACAAGGGGAGAATGGTGCCAAGATTATGGGCAAATGGCAATGATATGATCATGCAGAACAGAAAACCCTTTGATAAGTTGAGAACTCGAGAGCTCGATTCAACGGAAACAATTGAACCATGGTTGCATTCGGCACAGATAGGCAATGTCAAGTCATTCCACATCAGGTCTTCCACAAAACGTGCTCGTGATTATGCTTTGACATAGTGTGCGCATAAAACCAAGCGATTACTAGTAGTTAATTTGGTATCGCTCTTGCCATCTCTGAAAGTTTAGAACGTGCTGATCAAGATCAAGCCGAAGATACTTTGTCATGATCAGTTCCATACGCCTGCCTCATAATCCAGCTTGGCGATTAATCTTGAACACATTTCTACCTTCTTCGAGTGACTGGACATGGCCGCGCTGACCAATACACTCGATATTCGAATCTGCCAGTCGCAACAATGTCCATTCATTGGCGTGGTTGGCAATGAATCTTTGACCAGTCTCGACCAGTCTCCCAATGATATGCCCAAGCCGTGGGGCGCCTGTGCGGTCAAAATCGGCAGTGTAGCTCTTGGTTCCTCATTAGCGATGCTCACCATTTGTGCTTTTCCAGCAATGACTTACCTCTATTACAGCCTCGCCCGTGGCGTACTCTAGGAATTGCGGCGTAGATAGACCTTCCAAGTGGTGAGGTAGAGGATTGCGGGAGGGATAACCTGATCCGCCTTTTCTGGGACTCCTGGAGAGACAGATGGCGTATTGGTGCGTCATTACTCCGCCATTGGCAAGAATCAGCCCCGTGTTGAAACGACCTGATCGCAACTCTCGTGTCATGGCAGTGAGTGCCTATGCCAACATGTCAGTCTCGAATGCCAACTGACAACTTACGAGATGGATACTCACATGCATAGAGTAGTTGTTGCCAGCGCCACCAAATGAGGTCAACCCGCCTAGTAATGTGATGGGCTTTGCTCCACCAGTCAATGGCAGATCCAAATAGTGGCATGCCATCTTTGGCACAATTGGAAAGCAACTTTTCACACGTGAGAAACGTCAGCAAACAAATCGCGAAGGATATCGAATGACTTACGAATAGAAATCAAAGCAGTCGATATCATCCTTGGTGATCAATGATGACTCGATGGTTGAGTTGATCGCAGCCTCCATTGCAGGACTAGAGTGGAAATTTGGGCGTTCCCAAACTGCGACGTGAACAAATCAGCATTTACGGTTTAATTAAGGAGGAAAATGGCACCAGAAAATAACTTACAATCGTCACTGTCGTGAGTCCCTGCTCCTCCCAATGGGTAAACCCATTTGCTCTCGGGAATACCCAGGGCCTTGGCGTTGGCAACTGATGTGATGATACAGGCAGCCGAAAGATTCACCGTATTGAATGCGTTCATCAAAAGAGGGTCTACGGCAATTTAGTTCAGCTTTACCAGACCCATACCAATGTCGCGCAATCTGATGAGACACTTACACGGAACAGAAATCATGCGGTTCTTTGGAGACGGCCTGCCAATCTCCTCTGCACTTTTCGGGGGACGTCCATGATTCCATGCAAATGGATTTTGAGTTGCGATGCGGTCAAACTCGGCGTAGAGTCTCGCTGACTCGGCCGAATTCTCTTTCAAGGTCTGGCCACGGCGCGCTCTGAAGCCATTCTCATAGAATGGATATACTTGCACAGGCAATCCAACAGAATGTCGGGTTCCGACCGCTATTCAATATCGTCAATTCTTTACTAAAAGAATCAGTTGTTCCAATGCAACTAATGACTTACTGTCTCCAATCACGGAGAGCCCACCGGCTGCTATGGGCTTTTCTGTCGGATTCGGCTTTGGCCAGTTTGGCGGAGGCATCTTTCCAATCTTGCCCATGGCAGCGACTGCGCAAGATTTAGCACATTACTCGCATGCACACTTGTTTACTGGATCGTGACTAACGAGTGGCAAGACTTTCTCCTCCTGTTACGACAGCGACCATGGAATCGCCCAATGCGACCCGCCGCGCAGCTTCATCACAAATCAACGCAGGTCCATTGCCCCCATGCGGAGCCAAGTAGGTATGTTGAGGCAACACCTTTAACCTGCTCGCCAGGAGACCCGGGAGATCTGGGTACGTCCAGGTCCATGGAGGAACAACCGAGATGCTGTCAATCTGCGCCGATAGGTTGTGTTGGATATCGGTCCCAAGTCCCGTGTCGGCTAAAGCTGCTTGAATGGCTCTGATCATGAGCTCTGAGGGATCGTGGGCGTCTTCCACTTTTAGCGATTTGTTCTTGAAATCGCCTACCCCAACAATCACCGGGACATTGGTTGAAGAAGCCATGCTGGGTTGGTATAACGCTGAGGTACAAAATCAACTCAAAATAATGAAACTAGTGTAAGATTAGGATGCATCCAGGTAAACAGTCAGCATGCATCGAATCTAGTATGAAGCATTCAGAAGCATGTCAATGTAATTATTGTATCAGTGCGAAAGGTCCATCAACATGAACAAGTAGAGACCCAAATACCCATGTCATGTCCGTTGGGGTTTGTACGAGCGATACGTGATCAAATGTGTACAAAACCGCTGGCGTACGATATTTACCTCGGCATCTTGTAGACTACTAGGTACCTGTCCGCATTAGGCACTGCCATCTGCTCAATTGACATAATGTTGTTGGAGAACCGCTACAGTCGCCCTTGGCCCTGTGTGAGGGGGTATTTTGGCGATCCTTTGTTGTGGTTGCAGCGCGGGGTTCGGCAATATGGAGAACCCCTGGCGCGCTTGCAGTGGATTGAGCATTGAACGGTTACCTCTGGGATACTTACTAAGCCACGATAATGGAGTGCGCAGCGAGTGAAATTGTAAAACCCAACACTATACTCTTGGCTCTAAAGACTTATAGGCTCGGAGGAGCCAATGAGATGCGTGCTCAATTGGAGCCTGTTGACGATATCGCTACATGTAAAGTCCATTTGGCCTTGCGCTAGCCATGTGAATCAAATATTTCGTGCACTGAATCTGTTTCGAGCATGTGTCGTGAATAGGTTTCGAGTATGCCATTCAAACAATCATCCAGATGTATTTGCAAAGCATTCAATTTCAACCATGTACCTAGTCAGTAATGTAGTTTAGTTTGGTATGTGATGGCCACCATGCTGGCAAACTCTACTTCCTTCAAGCCCCAGACTGCTGCCCCGCCAATAGGGTGGGAGCCAGTTTCTTTTTCCACACCTCGTCTTCAGGAGCAGAAAGTTATGCAAAAAAATACCACCACTCATTCTTGCTCATCAATTCCTTAGAGATTGCTCATCAGTATCTTATAGCAATAGCTATACTGACGTGGAAATATTTTGTTCTGTGATGACCAAAACTCGCTGAAAAACGGACACGCTACTCGAGACTTGGGACAGGCGTTCTTGGACTAGCCAGCTTGACGCATGCCCAGCCAACTTGGTATCAGTGAGACGTCTACTACAAGTATCCATCGTGGCAGGAAATTGATTTGGACTTTGGTGTTTTGGTGTCACGGTTATATCCAGCACCGATTTTCTCTTACATTCCCCTTGGGCTGAAGAGCAGTGGTGTGGAATCAGTGCCATTGAGTTCTCGAGTGCCGAGTTTCTCGGAATCCGTCAAAGTTGTTGTCCTGACACCATAGGAAGCGACTGATGGTGGATGACTACTGCCGCGCTTGACTTTTTTTTCCTGCATTTGGTGTGGACTGGTCTGGCCTTACCAAGCAGACCTACCGATGTCTGCAGGGAAAGAGCAACATATATGACATGGCTGTTTTGGTTTACTCGTCCGATGGTGCTCCAGTCATTTCAATCTCAGCACTTCGAGCATCATCACAAACATAAGACGTGCTTCTTTTTTAGTCTTTCTACGTGCCAGATCGTTTTCTCTGCTGTCATTATTCGATATGGACTCGTCTACCAATAGCCGTCAGGAATATCCCCAGAAAAAGGCAGCAACACCTCAGAAAAGTGCGACAACACCTCAGAAAAAGGTGGCAATTCCACCGAAAAAGTCAGTAACTCCCCAGAAACAGGCAGTGAACAGTAATGTTCCGACGGATAAACGCAGCTCACTACGCATGAACAAAACGTGGCGACCTGAATCGGAATCTTCCAAGCAAGATGAGCGTCCTTTGACCAATGGCTACGTCTCCGGCCCCCGCAAAGCGCCGCTCCCGGAGTCACTCGAGCCGCCAAAGTTCTTGGGAGTCCAGTCACAGCCACCGCGTGCCAACCCTCGCCAGCCAGCTCCAGTCAACCCCTTCATTCATGAAAATGTGCGACAAGGTCCAACCGGCGGACCTGGTTCCCTAAACTTGAACTTGGTAGAGACGCGTACGGTCAACCTTATAACCCGGATCCTAAAGTCTTGGCCTCAACTTATGGCTATGCATCATACTTCCCACCTGCCGCCAATGATACACCCAGTGCAGCTAATGTGCGGGATCCCAAAGCCGCTTGAAAGATGTTATAGATTGGTCAATATGTGGGCAGACCGAACCGAAACTAGTACTGGATTTGTTTATGACGCCATTTTGTTAGAGATCCAGAAATTAATCGGCGAGGTAAGCTGAGTGTCCTCATCCGCAAGACCCTTGGCCGCGCATACTTGGGATTTGCTAACTTGTGCGCGTCGTTTTTTCTTGTTCTAGTGTCACACCTATAATGAGTTGGATCTGCTTCCAGCTGTTCAATCGCTGCTTATCCTCATGATCGTCTTATTCTTTTGCTTTTCGGGACCACCCACTACCTCAGAGCTCAGCATCCAGGCCCAAATTCTGGGCCAGGTCTGGAACGTCAAAAGCCAGCTGGCCAGCTCGGATCTCTTTGTGCCTTTGGAACCGATGGACCCGATGCCCAAGTGGAAGGAGTGGGCAGTCAAATCGGCCAAGCAACGCACTCTGCTGGGTTTACATCACGTAGAGTGGGTTTGGTCGCTTCGGCACGGCCACGCAATTCTAACCGGCTTCGAACTTGGCCCCATCCCAGCTCCTGCGCCAAGTCACCTCTGGCGTGAAACCAATGAGCAGACCTGGAAGCGGGAGTACAAGATTTGGCTGGCCACTTGGGAGAGACAACCTTACAGCATGGCCGAGTTGTTGAGTGTCAGAGCCGATGGTGTTTTAGGTACCAGGGCCGAGATGTGGCTCGCCGAGGCCGACGAGTTTGGTACCATGCTACTGCCAGAAAGTAAGTCTCCGGCGCAGAAGACTTCATCCCCCGACATTCGAAAGCTAATGTGCATGACAAGTCAACGCAATTCAATAGCTGCACTAAGATCCGGGATTCAGAAGGAGGTGAGTCGCGTGTACATGCTGGCCACTAAGAATGGGTACCCAAGTAGCTTTATGGAGCAAAAATACTGTCCTTATGCGTAACAGTTGTACGAGTTTTCCATCATTGATCAATGCTTGCTGAAATACTTTGAAACATACACGGGCCAAGAATGTGGCACAACCGTGAAATAAGCCTTCCAAGTCCAAGTCGTCGATGGATCAACTTGACGCACATCGTAGTCTCTCACCAAGGTGGCTGCCATTTTTGATAGTTGCACCTTGGCTAAATGCTGACCGGGACATGAGTTGTACCCGAGACCAAACTATTGAAACGAGTCAATACTGAGAACAAAATTCGGGGCGATTGTAGAACTGACAACTAGCCAATACTTTTCCTTGGACGCGGCATCGTCAGCGAACCAGCGGTCTGGGTTCCATTGACGAGCATCGGGACCCCAACACTCCTTTGATTGTTGCATAACGCTGTATTTCATTAGACTTGATGTGCTACACGACGTTGAGTTGGTTTCAGCTTCTCACTGGAGATGTATAGACAACGTAGTGCCTTCAGCGAAATGCCGACCACCAATGGTAATGCCACCCTTTGGCGCCACCCTGGGCAAGCCCATCGGCGTGGGTCCAAACATGCGCAGTGCCTCTTTGATACAGGCTTGTAGAAATGGTAACTTTTGCGCATCGTCAAATGAGACGACTCGATCGCGACACCGACCTTCAGCCTGAGCCGCGACAATTTCTTGTCGTGCTCGGAGCCAAGAGTCCCGGTTGCGCAACATGTGATACACGAAGGTCTGAATACCGCCTTTTTCTTGAATAAGCTTATGAAACGATTCAAGGACATAGAAAGAGGGGTTCTTACAAGATACCGTGTCCGAACCGGCACCAACAGCGACGGTGGCTTGCGCCTGAATGTCGCGGTCACTAAGCCGATCCGGGTTTTCTCGCTGCGCCTTGAACCAGTGAGCCGCGATATCGAAACGGGCGTCGGGATTCTCTTTTCGCTTCTTCATTGCCGCATCGGCGGTATCAAACAGGTGACCCATGGGTAGCAGACCCGTCCAGGTGATGATGGGGTTGGCAACCAGCAGCACATAGGCCCAGATGAAGAAACCCGCCGCGGCGACAAAGGGGTTGAGCACAAGGTTGTTGGCAATGGAGCCACGGATATCCTTGCCCTCCTTGATGTAGCCAAAGGACTGGCTGAAAATGACCTCTCCGGCATTGTCAAAGGCGGCGTAGGTGAGGTACTTGTCTAGGTGCATTGCGTCGCCCGACTCGGCAAACTTGTCCATCCAGTCCAACAAGAGGCCGATATTCTTGTTCATGTACTCTTCTGATCGGAGAATGTTGGACAAGGAGAATCCCGGGGCGAGCCATTTTGATCTTTCAATCTTTTCCTTTGGGTCGAGAGCACTCATAGGAGTCTCGAAGCGGTAGTCGGGCACTGTAAAGACGCGGTACCTTTTATAGTAGTGTTAGTGAATGCGCTGTTCCACGTCCTTGCAAAGTTGAGCAAGAAGTATAATCCACAATTGCAACATACCAGTCGGCCTGTATAATAATGTTAGAGCTGAACGTCCAGTTTAGAAAACGAGGACTCACCTTTCTCTGGGGTGTCAGAAGCAGTGACCGGGGCCCGTCCGGGTGGCTCACGCTGACCTCGTTGGGGGCGATGCGAACAAAGTGTCCATACTTGTCGTGCAGTGCAATGGATTGGAGGTTCTGGTCACCCTTGAAAATGTGCACAACCTGCCAAAGCCGCGTAATGGAGGCCCAAAAGGGACCCGGGATGTCGGACAATGGCGACAGGTATCGGCGATATATGGCAATGCTGAAAAGTATAATGACTGCTTGGACCAGAATAGCTGGCCACGACAAGAGAGATGTCATGGTTACGAGCATGGACATTCCTCTTGACTCAGAACATGGCACGGGACTTTTGCAACACACCAGAGCTAGAAATTGGTTGAGGCTCAAAATGCGAAGCATGCCAGACTGATATGATGATGGGAAGGGAAGGTTACACGGCATGTTCCTTTAGAGGGTACCCACGTGCCCGCTGTAGGTGTGTGGCACAATAGGTTGGCAGTGGATACTCATCCCCCAATGGCCCGAAAGGCGTTATGGTAGCGATTTTTGACAATGACTTTTGTTTCTCTCATCATTGGATACGTGCAGACCTTGGCAACGGTCCAACAATACGTTTGTGGAAACGTTATGCCGGAAACAATAATAGATATGCAGCTCATCTGCCCTCCAAGACACTGAATAATGCCGTACAAAGATGCGCACTTTGCAACGGACCCTTTTGTAGCGCCGCCGCTCCACCAAGAGATGGGGACGATCAGTTGTCGAATTCCTTCCCGCGACATTGATCACGCTTTGATCATTCGGCAGATCAGTCACATCGTCCCGATCTGATTGTTCACGTTTCATATCCGATCTGATTTCTGGCTGTACAGGTTGTTTGTTTCTAGCACTATCCATCAGCCTCATCTTGGGCCGGCCCGCGGGTTGCTGGGCCAAGTAAACGCGGGGGATGGACCGCTAAACGCCAACGGTCACCTAGCCTAGTGCACCCTTGGCTTCTCGATGCTTACCGTGTAAATATGTTTAGTGAGCCACCTCTCGAGTATATTCTCAGCGCAGGTGCTGGCTTTATATGGCAGTGACTGAAGAATAAAGATACTGTTGCAGAAAGTACCACTTTTTACAGCTTGAATGTCGTGTCGGCCTCGAGAATCGAACGGCCGCGACATTGTCGAACCCTTGTATCTTGCATCTTTTATCGAAACTAGCAATGCACACGCGCGGCACTGACCTGGCTCCGGGCCTTCCCCGAGATAGGCTTGCGCTCGATGCCTACCAAATCCACTGGTGCCATTGCATTCATAGTGGATCTCTTTTCCTCCTGAGTAATGGTTAACCGCTTGCGGGATTCGAGTCGATGCGGGCCGGGGATTCCATGATATGATTGATGCATTCGATAGGAATTGATCCCAGGAAGCCCCAGGCACACACACATGCAGAGAAAGAGAGAGGATGAGAACGAGGGAAAATATGAAGGATTCTCGAGTATGCATGTCGCAGGGTCCCTTTGCACATATATGGTCTCACGCGTCAAAACGAGCGTCCATTCAAATCTCGTTTGAATGGATTGATGAATTTCAATTCCCAAAAAAACCATGACTGAATATCCGATCAGTCAATACTTTGCGGTTATTCAGTCGTGATGAAGTTTGCGGTCGAGCGGAGAGACCAGGTCTCGCTGTTGGCCATTGCCGCTGTCTTTTTGGTGCTGCCGACGATAGCGATTATCCTGCGACTGCTGGCTCGCCGCATCGCGCACCGGACTCTTGATGTTAGCGACTACTTGATGATAGCCGCGTGGGTGAGTTTGCTCCTACAAGAAATATGACACGTTTTTCTGATTATTTGGCCAGGTGCTTGCTGTCGGCTTCCAAATTGTATGCTTTCTAGGTGAGTATCGCGATCGGCTTGGATCTGGCAATGGAGCAGTCCTAACATGACGCGACTTGTAGCTGTGCTCAATTTTGGAGTTGGCTACCATGCCAGTGAGATTAAAGAGATCTATGGAGAAAGAGCGACGGAAGGCTTTTCCATCGTGAGTCGCACTCTTTTGCACCTCGGACTACATTCTGATATGTGCCAGCTACTATTTCCGATTCAAGGGCTCTGGGCATTGAGTTTGAGCTGCTGCAAACTGTCCGTACTGCTCATGTACCGGAAACTCTTCCCCGTCAAGAAAGTCATCCATGCCGTCAACATTTCAATAGCCTTGATCTTCTTGTTTCTCATAATAGCCATCATTGGCGGCTGTACCATATGCCAGCCCTTTGCGTACAATTGGGATAAGACGATACCCAATGGACACTGCGGCGACCTCATTGCCATTGTCAAGACGACTGGAGCTGGAAACGTCATCACAGACGTTGCAGCATTGACCGTGGCTCTGCCCTCGTTGTTTGCTCTAACACTACCATGCTACAAGAAATTAGTTCTCATGCTTACCTTTGGCGTTGGCTTCCTGTGAGTACCTTTCTACTCAACTTTCCCACCTATGTGATACTGACAAGCTTTGTAATCAAGTGCCGTCATTGTGAGCATTCTTCGACTCATTACCCTCGTCACTGTAGACTTTGACGATCTCACCTACACCTGCGTCGAGGCTCTAATCTACAGCGCTGTTGAGCCATCACTGGCCATTGTCCTCGCGACAATCCCCATGCTGCGGCCACTACTTGGTCGAAGCAAGTACTCTGCCAACCGTGATGGGAAAAGTGCCACGGCGAGGTTCTCGTTCAAGTCGCGAAGCACGGCAAAAGGACCCAACGGGTCCGACGGCTTCGAGCAGTTGAGTGGTAATACTTCGCAATACGAACTGCGACCTCCGGGTCCGAAACACAATGTGCATATTTCAGTCCAATTGCCGAATTCGCGAGATTCGAGTACGCCAATATCTCCACTGGAGCGAAGAACAATCATGATACAACATGACTGGGAGGTACGGCAGGAACCCGAAACAGAGGGACCGCGATAAATAGATACACGATGGAATATACATACATCGCATTAAATCATACTAGAGATTCTCACATGATAAAAGCGTGATGCATAATGTTGCAATGACTTGTAATATTTCTTTTGTCTACATGATATTTTTTTCCCCTCCAAAGTGATAATCTTCAGCAGATCCAACATGCCCGTCTTTAATGCCCCAGTCCCTTGGCTCTGGCACGGTCCACGTCACGATAGTATCGTGCGGCCGTCTTTTCTCTCAAACTGCGTCCGTATCTCGCCATGACGAATGAACTTGCATTCCACACCAGCCCAATACCACCGACGATGCAATAAACTCTGAGATAGCCGCTTGCATTGAGCCAAGGAGTAATGCCATAATTTATGGCAAAAGACAGCGTGTTTCGGATCAAGACGCAAGTCGTGACCATCTGGCCAGAAAGCTCGGGGTAACTCGACATGGCGTATCCCAGGGCGGTCGACACGCAGAGCGCAGCATTGATGGCCAAGGCAACCTGGGTAATGACCAGTGCGAACCAGTGGAGGTGGTAGGTGACGCCCAATCCGTACAGGATCATGGCAAAGGGGACGAGGAATACACTAGCCGTGAAAATGTAGAGAACATGTTCCGATTCAGAAATGCCACCATTGCGACGTGCCAACCGAATCGTCAGCATGCGACCAACCTTTCCGCAATAGTATCCACTAGAAGTTGACCGCGTCAGCTCATCGAACAAAGAAACCACTGATGGTAAACAGGGTCTTGCTGTCAGATTCCGACTTACCCAATGACTGTTCCAATGACACCACCAGCGTAAGCGGCGGCGACGGTGGCAGTGCTGAAGCCATACTGAGTAGTATAGACTGTACCGATTGTGGCATTCTGAACTCCTTGCCAGACCAAAGAGTTTGCGCCGTACATGAAACTGGTACGAAAAATGTTAGCATTGGAAGAGGTGATGTCCTAATTTGGCACGGGTGGACAACTTACCCAGCGTATACGACTGCAGGATAGGTGAATCCCTTGAAGGGAGCTGCCATGATGTCAAGCAGGCGGTTGGGCCTCTTCTTGTCCTTAAGACTGAGCTTGTCCATGTACGACTTTCTGGGCCACGAGACTTGTCCCACTTCGCGATCCTCGGGCAGAGCAGCAGAAGGCGCCGGCTTCTCAGACTTTGCATCCTGGGATGGCACGGCCACCTCTGACGGAACTGCATGCACCTGCGATGCGGTGGTGGCAACGTGTTTTCGGTCATAGTTGGTCTCTTCCATGAGGAAGAAGCAGTAGACGAGAGCGATTCCATTCCAGATTGAACACCACCACAAGGTCCACTTCCACCCCATGCCATAGTTGATGAAGCCAGAGAGCATAGGGGCTAGCTTGCCAGTCAGCGAGAGCGACCAGCCGTACCAGGCCAGGTACTTGGGACGCTCATGGGCGAACCAAATGTCGACAATGGAGATTTCGCACAGAGACTCGACGGGGGAACCAAAGAAGCCTAGAATGATACGATTCGCCAAATAGGTGCCGGAGGTGGTGCAGAGAGGAGCGGTGGCCAGGATGATGATGTTGGCCACGAGGGAGAAGAGGTAGACTGGCCGCTTGCCGTACTGCAATGCAATGGCTTGCCAAAAGATGCAACCCCAGCCATAAAAGAGAAACTAATTCACATCATCAGTCATGAGATTCATAATCTTTTCCGAAAAAGGGCATGTGCGCACCATGATGCCAGTTCCATTGTTGATGTCGGTCAAGGTCAGCGACGTTGCGGCACGAATCGGGGTCACGATGGAATAGACGGCGCTTGACGGAATCGCAATCATGATCGTGTACACAACCACACAGCTAGTCGCCAGAATCTTGCGCTTGAGATCCCAATTCAGGGGATCTTCGGGATCTTCACTGGGGGAAGGAACCAAAATGATGTCGCTTTGCCCCTTGCCGTCGGCATGTTTGGAGGAAATCCCGCCGTCCGTGTCAATCAGACGAATGGTCCCGGGCGGGAGACCTTCGCCCGGGGTCGACGTTTCCTGCTGCGACTCCTTTTCCGACATGACCAGCAACAAGAAAACACAAAAACGAATCAAATCTCAAAAGAGTGAGTATTGTTGGGCTTTATAACTAGCACAGAATTGCGAACCTAGTCTTATTGTACATTTAGAACTCAGTGACTTGGCACTAGGCAGGCATGCTTATCACAAGGAAAGTTGGTCGCATCAGGGGTTGTCATTGATTGCTTAACAGTGAGCCTCGAGTCAATGGTTCGTTCCAACCATGCGTTGTGCAACAAACAGATCTCTCGTATCTGCGGGGTCGGGGGGCCAGCAGTCTCACTGATTATAAGTGTGTCGGTTCCTTGCTGATCCAGATTGGGCCAGGAACCTTAGATAAAGCAGACCACACTGTCCAGATTATGCAAGGGAGCATAGGTAGGTTCCTCGAGGGGGTGGCGGAACCCCCGAGCGGAGCCCGAGTATACTGTGTAGATATGCGACACCCTTGGACGAGATAAGGCCCGGCCACGGGCCCTGCGGCGCTCCGCTTTTCGTACGGCAACACTGCTACGAGGCCGTCTTGGCAGAAAGCGTCATTGGAATGATTTTGGATTATCGGCGATATTCGAAAGCACCTATCGTCGACGTCATTGGCATATTCATCACTCTTTATATAAAAATATGTGGCAAATGGCATACTTGGACCCGAGAACTGGCGAGGAAACCGACGATTCGGACATGGTCGCGCGTTTGTGATAAGGGCGCCGGACCCGAGTCATGTCGCTCCGCGATGCCGATCTTTCGACGAAAGACATCTCAACTCTAGTGCAAGCTACAATTCATGGCTGTATCAATAATAATCAATCAAGTAGGAACCAACTCTCTAATAAACAGCAGGTTGAAGGATCTTTTGCGACCATTGTCCCATTTCGGATGCAGCTGTATTTGATAAGACGATGCTTGTGAACGAATTGGTTCAATCAAATTAGGATCACCAAGTCGGAAATCTTCACAGCAAGTCGGAGCCTGGTGCGAAATCTATTCAATGCCAGCACAAGATATTGGATCACGGTATAGGCACAGAAATGTATTGTTTTGAGGCTGTTCCCTTAAGATGATGGATCTCTAAACATGGAGCATCTCGAGTAACAGGGGCTCCCCGCAGTAAAGGCTGAAAGGCTAGCCTCAAACTGCACTACAGGTAGGTTAAGCGGTAGCTATATCCCCGATCTAGCGCAAGTCTCCCAAAATTCGCTGAGCACAGGGTGACTAAGAGCAAAGCCAACCCTTGTGGTGAACCCAAAGCGAGAAACAACCGTATAACCTATTGCACCTCAATCGGCATTGAAATCATTGTCGTATGAATCTGTACGGTCGTACTTTTACTAGAACAAGTTGGGGTCATTCACCTTTATATAGGTTCCATAATCCGCAATGTTTTCCAAGTAGCAAGGGCGGACCTACGTCTTGCCATAATAGGCCGGCCGAAGCCGTCGACACGACGGCACAAAGTTTAGGGTTTTAGAGCTTACTCTCAACCTAGGGTGGCTGAACAAGGAGGTAGTATAGAGGGTTCCGGAGCGACCCCGGGACCCTTGCTTGGAGGGATTTAAACTCGTTGCATTCGTGTAGGGCAGCCTTTACCTGTCATGTTTTACTTTTTCCTCAGGCGTTATGATCGAGATTCTTCAAGTACATAGGTACCTACCTGGTAGACGAGGTTACTCGTAGGTACCTCGGCAGGCATGTAAGATCTCAAGGCGAGGTATGGAAATCGAACTCAGGAGACCCCATGCCGAGGAAGAGTGCGCCTGGTAGATGACGACGTTTGAAGATGTGAGATTCAAGCAGGGAAACAAAAATATCACAGCCGTCATTTTACGCCGATCTCGGCCTAGCGTAGTGAGTATATGTGCATGCGATTCTACAAAGTAACCAACAAACGCCGTGCCGCCGCGCCGCAGCCTCAGGGCATTTCTCAGCACCGGATACAAGCATAAAGCTGCAACAGAATTAGTCATACCACTCCTGATTGCTAATTCCCAAAGTGAGACCGCGAAACAAAGCATGGCATGACGAAAGAACCTTGGACAACACTTGGCAATACAAAGTACAAGCACTCCGTGGATTATAGTATTTAAGTCATATAGGACCTACGTAAATTGGAGCTCGATTTCCCGTAAATCATTCTTTGAATAAAAGAAGGCTCAAAAAGGCAGCTAGAATTGTGTGCGTTTTCACAGTCTCAACCTCAATCACCCATCTCATACAATATGCCATCTTACGTGATTACTGGAGCCTCGAGAGGACTAGGGGTAAGTCATTCAGCCTGAATCCTGCAGGCGGTATTGTACTGAAGCAATCCTCTCAGTTTGAGCTCCTCCGTCAGCTCTCCAGCAATGTCAACAATACCGTCGTTGGACTCGTGCGAAACAAGCCTGCGATGGAGAAGAAGGTGTCAGAAGAGCTAGGCAATCGCCCTAACGTTCATGTACTGCAAGGGGACTTGAACTCATACGAGGAGTTACAGGTGAGCTACATCCTCGTTACCTACCTACACCGGCCGTTGTACATCCAGGCTGATGCTAAAACTTGTTATTAGAAAGCTGCCGCTGATACTACCACCATCACCAACGGAAGCCTCGATTATTTGATCGCCAATGGAGCTTATGTACCCCAATGGGACGCATACGATCCGATCGGAGTCCTGTTAGTTGGCCCTATTTTATCTACATGCCGTAAAGAGACTGACTGGCCACGAATACAGTGCACAGAATCCCAAGAAACTCGAGCAAGAGCTGACAAAGCTCTACACTACCAACATTGTGGGCAACATCAACCTCTATAACCTCTTCCTACCACTCGTTTTGAAAGGCCAAGCAAAAAAGGTCGTAGCCATTACTAGTTCACTGGCAAACCTACCGACCGTTAATGGATTAGGGTTGGAGGCATCCCCGTTGTACGCCATAGTCAAGGCGGGACTGAACATGGTGAGCGCCAAGTTCTCGGCGCAGTATAAGCTGGACGGTGTGCTGTTTGTTAGCATCTGCCCTGGTATGGTAGAGGCGGGCCACTTTGACAACTGTAAGAATCCTTCCTGACACTGCCTCGTCTCGTCTAATCGTGCTCCTTAGTATCCCCGCAGCAACAGGCGACAATTGACACAATGGTTACCAAGTTCAAAGCAGCTATACCCGATTTCTCGGGCGCGTCGACACCAGAAGTTGCCATGAGGAATCTGATCAATATCTGGGAGAATGCTAGCATTGAGAATGGAGACGGCGGTGCATTTTTGTCGTCTCGTGGAACTCGATACTGAACGAGATCGAAGGTGTTGGCGTTTGTGAGCTATGCAAATGGATACGCTTTTAGTGTGGCCACGAATGGTAGAATACAAGACTTACTTATTCAGTATGCATTATTGAGAGGAATGTCAGGCGTTGCTAGGTCTAGAGTGTTGCCCAAACTTGACAGAATGAGCGTTGGCCAAGTGAACGTAGTTGATTTCGGTCTTTGTTCACCGGAAATGTGAGTTTCTGCCACTGAACAAACAGACTTGGAGCACTCGTGGTGAACCTGATGAATTGGCAAAGTCTAAGTAACCTTCATTTTACGTTTGCAAACACGTCATTCGGCAGGACACACTAGACCAAAGCACGAATAGAATGCATCGCAAGATTTCATTTGTGATTCAAATCACCGAATGCCCCTTATATGCACATGAGTGTCAATGTTGCCAAGTATCCACAGTATCATTGCCAGTCACGACGTTTATCCTTGGTTGGGACCAGCATCACAACAAGCGTTGGTAGACCATTCCTGAACATCCTCGCGCTCCTTGAGAGCTGTACATGTCGATCATTAGCAAGTCATTCTTTATAGACTCAAGCTTGAAAAGGGTGTTACCTGGGGCGGCCATGACGGCAGCGACTGAAACAGCCAGAACAGTAATGATGGCCTTGAAGTTCATGATGTCTTGGAAAAGGACAAAGATATTGAAAAATCTGTTTAACAAATCGCGCTGAATGTTAATTGAGGGGAGTGAGTGAGTCTGCGCAAATTTCTTACATGGAACTGTGAATGAGTCCACTATTTATAAACATTTGCTCCAGGAAATGGCTTGCGGGCTGATAGTTGTCCGTTGAGCTGAGACGGAGATACTGAACTCCGTCATTCTCCGTCTCCAAGGATGCTAGGACAACTGTGCGACCCAACCAAGTCGAAGATATCCTGTTACACTATTTAAATTAAAAAGATGGGTGCTGCGATAGTGACTGAAGGATTTGCTGACATGATATCGCTTACTTCCAGGGTATTTATGATCCGACAATGATAGAAAGTGCGGGTCATGTGTTGAACGAAGCCGCGATAATGATCTGACTATGATTTATGCCCCAGGTCGAACTCTTGTAATGGACCAAGTTTCAACGGGAAGTAGCCTGGCGATAATTGCAAAATGTAAAGCTATGCAGGCAACTTCCCCAGAGAACAAATCAGGCTTATCAAGCCAACACCCATGGAATCACTAGCGCTGATCCAGGAGAATCCTTTGAGGGGAACCCATAAAGGCATTGCTGCATAGACATGGCACAGTCACGACCATAGGACTTGCTGAACTGGAGAACCAGAAAGATGTGACTTGAGGGTGTGCCCATGCCGGGCCTTTAGCAAATCCGCTCAGATACTCGAAAGGGGTGGGGGAATCTATCTTTCCGTTGAGACATCTTGTACTCGAGCTCAATCCCCATCCTCAATCTAGATATCACAAATCATGGCCATGTCTTTGAAAACCGAGGGTTATACTCCTATTGACGATGAAGAGTCAGCGAACCTTTCGGACTCTGAGAGCAGCGAGACTCTTTTAAAAGGTCAGCACAAACGAAACAAGTCTCGGGCTCGTTCAGTTCCACACATTCACTGCAATGTGGCGGGCTTCGTGGCACTCGTCATATTGGTAATGATAATCATCTTGGCTACCATCAAGTGCACAATACTATATGAAAGAAGAGGGAGCAATGCTCCTAGATGGCGACCGGCATTCTGTATGTCTTTATATATCAATTTGACCAGCACCGAACTTCTAACCATGATATCTACAGCACCATTCTACGACATGATGGATATTCCAATAATAAAGAAATATGCCGACCATTCACCAGCCCCCAACGCATCAGACCCGAGACACATATATCGGCTCGACCCCAGCCCAGAAGTCGATGCAGCATGGACACGCATTGCCACCGCCAGCGCCATCTACCCAGCATCGGCTCAAGACATAGCACGAGCCGGCAAAGATCCAAGATATGCCGTCGACGCCCCAGAGTCGTGGAATTACCCACCAGGCAAGACAAAGATGATGGGCATTGAAGCCTTTCACCTGCTGCACTGTCTCAACGCCCTGCGCAAGGGTCTCATAATCAATTATGACTACTACTGGGGCGCCCACTATGGCTTTGCCCCTCCTGCCGTGTTTGCGCGCCATCTCAACCACTGCGTCGATATGCTCAGGCAGCATCTCATGTGCCATGCCGACCTGGTGCCCTTTACCTTTGATTGGCGCATTGGCCAGACCAAGCCGTACGCCGACTTTGGAATTCAGAAAACGTGTATCGACTTTGACTACTTGCTCGATTGGGTAGAGGACAACAAGGATCCGTTGGCCGAAGAGCGTGTAAGTCTTGTCCTCTTGAAATTTCTCATGCTGTCTGCCATGCACACTTGTGCTGATTGATCGCAGTGGAAAGCCTTGGAAAAGCCAGAGGGTGTACTGCAAAAGGAAGCTCCTCCGGACATACCCCAGATTACCAACAATTCAGTGTGGAGCAAGGATCATACAATGGTTCTAGAGACACTTGCGGGACTTGAAGGTAGAGAATACTGCCTAGGTAGGTAACAGATAGGCCCTGTGGGAATAATCAATAAAACGAAACCTTCGAAATGCGGCGGGAACTAACGTTGCGGCTTTCAAAAACCATCTACGGACTCGGTCATGGAAAGGAACAAGATAAACACACACAAGTAAATAGATGAATGAAAAGAAATTGTTATTAAAAGAGAGTCCTGCTGTTGTCACGACACAACAAGTGCGTCTCGATTTGATTGTCCAAGATTTTCTTCCGGGCGCTCTCGTTTATATTCGATTGCAGCGGGTGAAGGCTTTTCACTTTTCTTTTGGCCATCGCTTGAAATACGCGCTTGGATGGAAAATGTCCGAGTACCCTCCATCATCTTCTCTTCTACAAAAACATTGACCGAAAAATCACGGGTGCTGTAATGAGTCAGCATACGTGGTGCGGATTGGAAAAGATGAAAGACTTGTGCTGTCTCTTTACTTACCCATAAGAAAACGAAATTGATGTGGGCGGTGTCGGGGCATGACTCATGTTGAGTAGTCCGCGAACAATGCGACCTTCCTTCAATAAAAAGTAAGGGTTGTGAAGATTGCTTGCCACTTCAGCTTTAGTCTTGCCCTTGGACCAAGTATTGGGGACGCTGATCATGACCCAAGGGATTGGTGGCTGTACTGCCAAGCTCCCTGATGTTTCAGTTTTATCTTTATCCTTTTTAGCTGCCAAGCCACAGAATATCGGCGCAACCAAGATGATTTCATTCTCGTCTGTCATAATGGCCAAGTATAACATGCCAGTGAACTGCGTGCTTCCACTCGTGAGTATCCGACTTGAACTGGCGTCATAGTACCAGGGGACATTGATGTCATCCCTGGACAGGTCAGGTCTGATGTTGGGGAAGAATTCACAGCGCAGAGACTCTATATGTTTTGTTGGTGTTGTTATCACAAATGAATTCTCAAGGCGACCTTTTACTTTTGCAGATTCCGTCAAGGAAAGAACTCGGGGGACTCGCACGGATACTAGGTGAGGGTCCCAATCGTTCCATGCGAGCGAATCCTCGGACAGGTAAAAGAGCTTCTGGGTACGGTGTCGAACATAGCCCGTGACCGTTTTCACGAGGCGGATATATATGTACTTGCGACGATTCCGCGGTCCAGGAGCACAAAAGAGACACATTTCAAAGTCGCCTTCGCTTGTATCCCGCCTTAAATAGGTCTCAAATTCAACGCCACGATTGGTCAGGTTGAAAGACTGTCCAGCAAGTAGCGCAGGACTTTCAATATTGAGAAGTGTTCCGCATCTGGAGAACTGCATTGGCGTTTGCGCGAATATACCATTGTATTCAGGAGTCTGCGGATTCTCTTCATCGTCAGACCATGCAAACAACGAGAGGTCGTATGTTGACTGGGCAATTGCCTCCTGTAGGCGCAGAAAGGCTCGCATGCCCTCTCCATATATCAATGGCATATTGACATTGAATATACCCAGCAGGGAGTATGCTATATCTTCGATCCGGGTGGTTTTCCTCTTTGCTGCCCAAGCCATCTTTCTGGCCACGGGGATTGAGGAAAGATCTTCACTGTTGGCAAGCACGCCGAGTTCGATATCAGTAATCTGAGATAGTTGATGCTGCAGTGATTTCTTGTTCCCTCGCAGAATCCAGTCACGGTCAAAGAACTCGGCTGATGATGGGGCAATCAGCTCCTGCAACGTCCATCCGCGGCCAAACCATTTGCAGCGGACCAAGTCTTTGGCCATTTGGCGCTGGGCAAATTTTGACTCGGGACCAACAGAAGAGGATGGGAGGTCCTCAAGGTAGACATAACAGATGGTAGCGAGCTTGTACCATTCAAACATTGAGTTGATAGCTTCAGCCAGTTCTGTGTTGTTGGTCTTGTCAATGCAGCACGTGTCAACCCATGCGAATTTGATGTTTTGCTGAGCGGCGAGCTTGCACGTCCGCTCAATCTTGGTCCATCCCGAGCGCTGACGTGCTCGGTCGAGATTCCGCAGATCTTGAAAAGACACCTCGTTGCCTGAATTCCAGGTATGAGACAGGATTGCGTATTGAAAGTCCTCGGGGCGGAAGATTTCCACCAGGCTGTAATTGCTGGTATCAAGTAGCCACATTGTTCTTGTAGATACGAGCCGTGCTCTCTCTGATAAACGAATGACAAGTCCTTGGGGTACGCAATGCGGTGTGGCTACTCATTTCGTTCAGTTAAGAATGGAATATGGGACCCCAAGTTGCTTTTTCCAATGGGAAATACATGCGATCCCATAATATCGTGTGTAAAGTCGTTGGAAATTGGGAGGGTGGCAAGAGCATGGTCATCAGCTGCATCAGCCGTCTTTCAAGTGCAAGAGCTCGGCGTTCGGCGGAACTTGGTTCCTGGTCAATGACCCTGGTCCGACTAAGATCATTGAGAGATTCTATTGGGCGCCAAGAAGCAAAATGTCATGGGTGAAGCACTCATAAACACTCGACTTTAGACCAATCAGAAAAATGCCGCCCAGGAGTGGCTTCCTGCATTGGGAGGGTACCAGGGATTATGGATGGCTTTAGTAGAAATAGTGGAAAAGAAGAGTAAAAAATTAATAAATAATAATTCCAACTGAAGCCATGTCCTGGGTCGTCAACATCACTTCCCCGAGACAGTAGATGCGGCGACTCTACAGTGTAGCTAGCCAATCAATTGTTTGCAATAATAGGGTCGTGATTTTGTTCTATCTCTTTTTCTCTCTTCTTATTTCCTAACGTACTCGTGCTTAATGCCGCCGCCAGATCTATGCACAACAGAGCAATCGACTTGCCGCCAGATCGCCTTGAATTTCTCCAACACACATGCATCAGGCATAAACGACGATGCCAGCGACGCCGTGCCCTGTTCCAGCATTCTCACATTCATGGTTACTGACAGGTCTGTCAGTCTATCAATGAACCACGATCTTGTGTCGCCTTGTGGGTCCGCGGCGGAAGCGCCAACAGAGAATTGCCAGACGGGTAGGTCAACCGTGGAGCAGAGTCTGATGTGAGGTTCCTCGAGTGCTTGTCTCAGATCTTTGGCCAAGGTCCTCAACTCGTGTTGCGCTGTGCTCGGCCACAACAGCAGGAGGAATAGTTGAATGGATCGACGCAGCGTACGAATATGGTGGTCTTGGGTTCTCAAGAGAGTATCGACGTCGGATTGCAGACGCCTGAATTGGACGTCTATCCTGGCTTTCCTTTGATCCTTTTCTTTTGAATCGGCGTGATAAGCGTCAATGTCTTGGCAAAGTCGATCGATTTGTGATTGGATGTAATTAATGTCCATTAGATCTGGCGTATTATTGTCGCATAATGCTTGTATTAATTGCTTGTGCATGTCACGTGCAGCTGGAATATTGTGTGCCATGGAAGCACTTGCTAAAAGTCAGCTCAGGTTACGCAAGAGGATAGTATCGTGGACTGCATACTATAGTAGAAAGTCAGATAGCCAAGGCGGAACGTCATTGTTGCCCGATAAACGTCTCAATTTGATCATCTGGGCCAGTCCCTCACTGTGAATCTTCATTGCATTGGCGTCACTTCCAAGGTGCTGCGGCGTGTAAGGATACCGTGTTGATATGCTTGGGTGGATGGATGCAAAACTCACCTCTGCCCATGTCAGAGTAAAGACGGCACTCAAAAGACCGTCTGTTAGACCTGATGGTGTATCAAGCCGCTCATTGATCATTTTGATGGCCCTTCCCTTGCGGATAGCCGACTCGCGCAGCCCCCACATACACTGTCGCCGGGGGTTGTGTTTCAGCCCTATAGAGACAGAAGCTTCGACTAGAGCTGGCTCAGATAGGAGTAGATGGACCCAAGCCGCCTCGGCTGCAGAGCCAGGACCTCCGATTCCTTCTGGGAAAACAAAAGGTCGGAATTGACATAGTACTAAGGTTTGGTATGAGTAAACACCAGGCAGACAAGAAAAGTGGTACTTCATACTTACAATAATGAATTGACGAGGTAGTATGATTGGTCATGGTCAATAGAGGCTGGTCGGCCGAAATGTAACTTGGACCCTTTCTTTTATGTAGCTCAGGCGTTGCGAATTTCGAGATGGCGTCTGTATCATGCTTTCCACGTTGTTCCTCAATCAACCGTTGTCTCCTTTTGGCAAAGTTTACCTTATTGACATGCGCTCTCATCCGCTTAGTCTCTGCCGCACCCTGAGTTGGAGCATGACTCGTGTTTAGAAATGTGAGCTGTAGCCCCATCTTGTCCCATGCAGAGGTGCTTCTGATGACCCTGAGAAGGCGGTAGAGAAAGTTGGACGTTGAAGATCGGCTTACGGATGACAGAAGAAGCGACTACGAGGCACGCCGGCGATCAGTGGAGATTCGGGATGCGTCACGTCTATACCCTTTTAGGAAAATCGAATCTCTTGGCAAAATGGAGCCTCTTGATGAAGGTCTAAATCTTGGCCATGATTAACTATAGACTTGATTATGGCAGCGCAGAAAGAATGGATATAAATAAGGAACGAGGAAGTGTTTTCTCTGATGAATGCACTCTGCACCATCAGAATCAAATCACATATTTAATTGCTGAAGTAGCACTTCTTTTTCAAGTCATTCATCTCCATGGCGTCTGCATCCACCAAAGCAATGCGCGCATGGCAATACACCAGTGCAGCCGGTGGCCTGCACAAGAGCTTGACCCTCTCCTCCACCGCAGCGCACCCACGTCCAACAACACCACCAAAGCTGGCCAAGGATGAACTACTCGTCCGTGTGCGCGCAGCAGGACTCAACCCAATTGACTACAAGCTCGCAGAGCTCCCCTACGGCATGTCACGCGCCATGATCTCGGTACCAGCCAGTCCCGCCATGGACTTTGCCGGTTCCGTCGTCGCTCATGGCGCCGAAACAGAGTTCCCTGTCAAGACGGGTGATTCAGTGTTTGGTCGACTTGACCCCAGCCAATTTGGCGCGCTCGGGGAGTTTGTGGTTGCAAAGTCCCCTGGGTGCGCCACGCTGCCGAGCACAGTGAGCTTTGAGCACGCTAGCGGCGTAGGATCGGCCGGCCAGGTGGCCTACAGAAGCGTCGTGTACAATGTCCCGGAACCGTCGCGGGAGCGGTCCGCCGCAAACGCCAACTTTCGCATCTTTATCAATGGCGGTAGTGGTGGTACTGGCACGTTTGCCATCCAGATTGCAAAGCTGCTGGGCTGCCAGGTGACCGCGTCCTGCTCAACCGGCAACGTGGACTTGTGCCAAAGCCTGGGCGCAGACGAGGTCATCGACTACACCCAAGGCAGCATTGTCGACTGTCTCAAGGCCAAGGGCCAAGTCTTTGACCTGGTCATAGATTTTGTCGGTCTACCCTACAATCTGTACAAGGCTTCTGATCACTTTCTTGTGCCGAATGGCAAGTACGTGCAGGTTGGCGCGGATATGACGCTCAGTAGCATGGGGAATCTGACTTCGCGCATGGTGCTGCCCTCTTTTCTTGGAGGGGGTTCGCGCAAGTTTGCTCTAGAGGCAGTCAAGAACAGTCATAGAGATCTGTCCCGCCTCGGAGAGTGGATAGAAAGTGGAAAGATCAAGGTCGTTGTGGACCAAATCTTTGCCTACGAGGACGCACCAAAGGCCTACGAGAAGCTTAGGACAGGTCATGCGAAAGGCAAGATAATCGTCAAGGGTGCACCGTAATACTTTTTCTTAGAAATATCAAATCTCTGGGCGTCAGAAAACTGCTTTCTTTTT